GACTGTCCTCTAGAAAGTAGGACACAGACCCACCCCAGACCAGCAATCACATGTGGCAATTAGGTCTGAATATACATCTCTATGGGACTGCAGGTGGCGCACTGGTTTAAACCACTGTGCTGCTGGGCTGGAAGATGGAAGGTCGCCGGTTCAAATCTGCACAGTGGGGTGAGTTCCCATTGCTCTGTCCCAGCTCCTGCCAACCTTGCAGTTTGAAAGCATGCAAATGCAAGTAGATGAAAAGGTACCACTTCGGTGGGCAGGTAACAGCATTCCGTGCACTGCGGTGTTTAGTCATGCCGGCCACATGACCATGGAGACTGTCTCCAGACAAACGCTGGCTCCCTCGGCTAGGAAACGGAGATGAACACCGCCCCCTAGAGTCAGGCATGACTGGACTTAATGTCAAGGGGAAACCTTTACCTTTATACATCTCTATGGTCCAAATCACGACTGTTGGAGCTGAGAGAGCATCCTTTTCTGGTCCCAGGAAGGAGCCCGTGGGACACGATGGAGCACGACAGCAAGGGGAGCTCTCAGTGAGCCATTTGGCTCCAAAAAGGTCTGCCACCAAACTGAAAGCCGTTGTATCTCGACGTTCAGAGCACCCTCTGCTGGAGGGTGCACTGATCCACTGCTGGAATTGGACACAGGTTTTGAAGGGTTTGGCTCAAGTTTGAGGGCCTCTGATATCTTGGGATCGGGATTCCCCAGTTCTGCACTGGTGTATCGGCCTGGGGTCTGTTCCCTCGGCACAACTGGTTCCTTACCCACTGTGTTTTTGGCTGGTTTGCTGCTGGATTCAGGCGTCATGGCACTGGCTGCCAGCACCACACACTTTTGTTGCCCGGTGTCATCGACGGGACTGCACTACTTCTGCCTCCAGAAAGCAGCAGAGGACACTCTGGGAATCAGGCTCCCACTGCATACAAACGGAGACAAGAAACATTACAATGTTTGGAGAAATCTCAGGGAAGAATTATTTTCCCAAGCTATAGAAGGAAAATTGTGGGGGGCGGGGGGCGGGGCTGACACTTCCTTTTGAGCAAAAGACTGCAAACCATATTTTCCCGCTCCTCCTTCCTTCCACCCATCACTCAGCTATCCCTGGTTGATGATGGACGCACACAGAGGCATTGCATGAATGGTGACTGTTATCCATGTCATAGCTGGCAAAGACTGACAGAATGGAGCTATTTGTGATGGCTGACACATCATAGAACCAGTAGCCAAGCAAACAATTTTATTTTAAGGGTGGGAACAGTCAGACAACATTTGTGAATATTTTATGTTCAACTTCAGCATCTAACATCCAAAGATGTGCCACAGAAGTCAATGTTTTGACAGTTTTGGACACTTGGGACGCAGTAGCAGTTCCCATTTGGCATGCTGGTATCTGATCATTTTTGGCAGATGACATGAAGTAATGGCTAGGATTTGACAGTATCTAAGAGCTGGCTTACAGTAACAGTTGGTATTTGACTCTACTGGATAGCTGAGATGCTGTACTATGTGGTTTGATAGTATCTGAGAGATAATTTGTGATATTGTTTTTTATTTGTTTATTGTTTGATTTATATCCTGCCTTTTTCCTACAAAGGGCTCAAGGCAGCTTACATCATTCTCCTCCTCCATCTTATCCCCACAACAACAACCCTGCGAGGTAGGTTGGGCTGAGAGTCTGTGACTGGCCCAAAGTCACCCAGTTGGCTCCATGGCTAAGCGGGGACTAGAACCCAGGTCGTCTGAGTCCCAGTCCCATGCTCTTAACCACTACACCACACTGTACGCTCTCCTTTCTGAAAGTGTGTGGCTGGAAAAGGTGAGGCCCTGGCAGGATGGCATTTGCACCTCAGAGAAACCTACAGAAAGGTTGTAGGTGTAAATTTCACTGGTGTAAATTTAGTGTCAGTGGAATTCTTGACAACAGCAGGGAAATGGGGCATTCGGCAGACAGGTTGGGTGAGGCTTGGATATGTAGGGCCCAATGGCCCCTCATTTTTCTGACAGGCCCATCAGGATCAGGCCTTGAGTTAGTGTGGATGCCTTCCTTCTGATCCCTGTCAATGGCAGAGAAGGTAAAACACAAAAGCCGTTATGCAAAACACAAGATGCTTCCTCCCCACATCTCCTGCCCTGTTTGCCTGAGGAGGCAGGGCTATCAAAAGTCACTCCTCTGCAGGCTTCCTGCTTTGATCTGCACACTTGCTCTGCTCACACATGTCATGTTAACATCCTTTAGACCTTGCTTCTCTGCCAGTTTAGGCACAAAAACTAGCACAAACTCCTAGCATTCTCCTGCTTGTCCAGTCATGCATAGAATTATGCCCCTAAGCAGCCAAAACATTTAGATTTTGAGGTCCAATTTCACTTTTGGAAATCTGAATGCTACATAGTGATGTCAAATTTTTGCATTAAGTTCTGAATCTCAAATCTTCTGAGTCAGACAGTCTTTGAAACTTTGGAACCAGTAAGTTTCAGTGCTGACTGAGAGAGGCCCTTAGCAGTGCGATCCTATGCATAGAAGTACATAAGTTCTGCTGATTTCAGTGAGGTTTCCTCCCAGGTGCATGGGCCGCATGTGGCAAAATGTGTCCACGTGGGTTGCAGGGATGGTTTGTGCAGGCTGGCCCTCAGCTCCTGCACTTGGGTGCAGCTGGAGTGGCCAGGGAGTAGGCAGAGAGTAGGCAGTCCTCTGTTGGAAGAGGTGTCCCGTAAAGTCTGGTTTAAAGTTCAAAACCATCTAAAAACGGAGAACAGGGCCTTCACGTTGCCCATCAGCCATTCATCCACAGACAGTAACCAAGCAACATGCAGGACACAACCTCCCCTCCCACCCCAGTCAGATTCTTCATACTTCTGTTTAAGTTAAAATTACGTTGAAGTTTGTACCCACACATATATATTTACTGATTCAACTGTTGTGCAAATTAGACCTCTTTTGTGATGCAGTGTGTCTTCTTTTTTGCAGCATGTATGTGCCTGTTCTACTGACTTATGGCTGAGTAGCAATAGGAAAATATACCTTGGGAGAAGGGACAGGCTGGCCTTCATACAGTATTACAAGTATGCTAATTTCCACCCATGTGGGAATACTGATGCTAGATGAAAAATTTTGCTCCTGCTGAAAATTAGAAGATAGGTCCTGATAGAGCTATTCTGTTCTGCTGGTCTTAGAGATGCTGGAGGGTCCATGAGTCACCCTCCAGAGTGGCCTGGCAGTTTCACAGAAGTGCATCTGGCTTGCTGTGAAAACAGGAGAGGAACGGCTCTGGCACTGCAGTTTGTGTTATCACCCATGTTGGAATGCCGCAGACGCCTTATCGCTTGCTCGGGGATCTGAGAGGCCGTTCTGCTGACAGAGCATTTATTATCTGGTGACTGGGACCTTCTGGGAGGAGCCATGTCAACACGTTAATCTCCTGCTGGGGAGGAAGAGAAACAGCAAAAAGCAACGGGGTGGCTGGGACTGCTCTTGGTGCCCTCCTCCAACATTCCTTACCCCCTTTGTAGCAACACAACCGCTTCTCTAAGGAATTCCGATTAAAATACAGTGTTTCTAAGAAAACACAAAAGTCCTGCACCAGCAGGGATTCTCTTTTCCTGAAGGCAGTCCAGGGGCCAGAGCTTCTGGGCCGCTTTCTCACCCTGGCATTGGGCTCTGCATCCTAGCATTGGGCTCTTTAGTTCCCTTTATTCTAAATTTACTTTTATTTTTCTTTACAAGCATAGCACTAATAGCTGGATTGACTGAGTCCTGTTGCTGGCTCCCAGAATTCTTCTGCCCTTGCCCTGCATCACATGTTGCTGATACTGACATGGGGAGCTGGTATACCCTGAATGGACCCCATATTCTGGCACTGGGCAGTACCGGCTGTGTCAGTCCAACAGCATCAATGCTGTTGCACTAGCAGAAGCTCGGTTCTGGATGCAAGAGAGAGAATCCATTTGCGCGTGTGTAATTGTGCATTATGCTGATCCATTTGGTTGTGCAGACCTCCTGCGGAACTGCTTGTGCACCCCGCTTGTGGTCCAACCTGTTGTATAATTGGCTGTGCAATCATAACAGTGAACTGCTGCTGGTGAAATGGAAGGTTTCAGTGGCGCTCCACTAGCGCCATTTGAGTCTTCAGAATGACACTACTGAATCCCACCCATTACGTGGTGCGCCATTTGTGCTGCAGTTTTCGCTCTCTCCCCCTGTCCTCATTTCAGGCCTGCCACGAATGCCACCCAAGAGGACAAGCCAGGATCTCCCCAAAGCCTCCGCCGTCCTCGTGGTGGACACAGCAGTGCTCACAGTCCTCAAGAGCCTCCTTCTCTCCCCCTCATTATCCCCTGGACAGGCTTCTGCAGTGGGGATGCAACTGGCCAGGAGAAGGGAGTCCAGCAGGCACTTGGCTTCTGCTGGAGCTGCGCAGTTGCTGCTTTCACTGTCCAGTGTTGCTTTGTGGGCTGTAAAAAGGCAGGCCTTCAGTTCCTTGACTTTCTAAGAGGAATAGCAAGGGGCTAGTGAAGCTGGCTTTGGAAGCCACTCTCCTTTTCCTCTCTAAGGGCCAAAGCTTTGGGAATGGGAGAGGCCTCCATGGGTTGTTGTTGTCATCAGGATAACAGTGGAGTGGAGGAAAAGTTGCCTTGGGCTCCTCCAGGAAGAAAAAAGGGTGAGATATAAATTAATATGTAACGGCAACAATAATAATGGTAAGAGCCACATCTGTAGCCCCACCCACTTTGGAACGCAACACCCAATGGGTTTTGGGCACTGGAAGGAGGACCTTACAGGGGGAAATCCTCCCCCCACACCATCCCCTACACTGTTCAGCATCGGGAAAGTGATGGAACGCATTAAAGGACACACACTCAGTTCACAAAGATATTAGTGCCCCAAGTGATCCAAGGGCAGGTTGCGGGAGCCCCGTGGAAAGCAACCTCAGGATAATGTGACACCCACCATCTGCTGTGCCTGTCTCTGATGTGACTGCCTTTGCTGTGACTGACAGGCTGACAGCACAATGGAGCGTGGAGGATGAGGAGGAAGCCGCTAGGGAGCGTCGCCGAAGGGAACGGGAGAGGCAGCTGAGGTCCCAGGCAGAGGAAGGTCTTAGCAGCAGCAGCGCAGCCTCCGAAGGCGGAGTGGCAGAACAAGAAGGCCGGTAAGAAGTGCCTGAGCGTGAACGGCACCTTTGCTTTTTCCAGTCCGGTGTAACATCACACACGTCTCCGTGGAATGATGAAGGATTCTTTGCAAAGGGACAGCATGTATATTTCTGCATCCAGTTAGTTCAAGAAAAATGAACGTCTTGAAAAAAAATCTCAGATTTAATAACATGAAGTAGTAAAATGTGATTTCATCCTGCAGTTATGCAGCCCAAATGAATTGATTTCCATGTGGCTACAATGTGTGCATTGCACCGTGGAGCCCAGCTTCACATGGAGAACTTCTCGGTCTCATCACAGTGGCTGTCAGAAACATCTTGGAGAGCCATTAAATTGTCCATGCAAATCAAGGGATCACCCACAAGTTACCCCACATGGCACGAGACTGCATGGCTCAGCCACCAAGTTGAATGCAGCTCACCAACCATGTTTTGTGGTTCCTTAGGGCCTTGACCAGCTTCCTGGCCTTGTTGAAAGGTTGTCAAGTGCTTGGCATATCACAAAAACCTAGTTAATTGTGGGGTGGCCATGTGTGCTACCTTACAGGGGACAGTCCTCTATTTGGGGATGTCCTCTGCTAGAAGGGCGCTTCAGTCCAAGTCCGGTTTAAAGTTAAAGAAACTTACAAAGGGGGAGCACGCCAGGGCCTTGTAACTGCTCATCAGTCATCCCTAGACAACAAGCAATTGGGAACCTGCTCAGTCTTCCTACTACATTCCCTAATCACACACTATAAAAACTCTAACATGCAAAGTTAACATTTAAACAGGTAAAGCAGCTAAAATAAGACCCTGAACCTGATAGAAGGCACTAATATGAATGCCCCATCATGTAACATCAAATTCCTGGGAGGAGAGGACAATCTTAATCTGGCACCAAAAAGATGACAGAGTTGGTACAAGGCAAACCTCAGAGGGGTGATTATTCCATTTAACCCATTTCTAAATTTTAATCTACACACATAAATTAACATATGCAAATATTATGCAGATCAGTGCCCTGCTTTGTTCTGTGGTTTGGGGATGCATTTCTTCTTTTCTACTGGCAATGCTTGAGCAGCTACTGTAAGCTTCAGGGCTGTGTTCAGCTGCACAAAAGAGCAACCACCTTGGAGAAACTCTTTCTGCTGGCCGCCACAGGGTGGCTGCCATTTTGTGGCAACAAAATGAGAAAGCACATGAAGAGAAACTGCATTCCCACTAATTTAGGAAGCATATCTCTTTTCTCTGAGGTGGCAATAATTGAGGTCTTAGTCCAGAGAAACAGTTCGGTAATTTTAAACTCTGGACTTATTTGTTTTACAGATGCACCTCAGGCAATCTGTATTAGTTCAGTCCTTTCAAACTGTGGTAGACCAGCCCTGCTGCTTTCAAGGGCCCTTCTTCTCATTCTGCTGAGCTGGACCTTGGACTTTTGCCCCAAATTCCTGCTATGATATCACCTGTTTTAATCACTCCTTAAGCTCTGAAAGGCAGAGTCTGCCTCTATTGCATGGAAATTCTAACTATTACTCATAGATCTTCACATGAAAATCGGATCCCTGCAGAATATCTTGCTGTGTATGTTCCTGCTTGTTTTGGGGAGCAAAACTGAGAGTGCAGGAACTGCTCCATTAAATATGGACAGAAGTACCTGTTGAGAGAGAGCCCTTCATAAGAAAAGAGGTGCAAGGGAGGGCAGGGGCAGATCAGCGGACCCTTCTTCAGTGTGCCATTTCCCCCCTGCAAATGTCTCCCTATCTTTTCTTTTCTTTTTTTGCAAAACCTAGTGGAGCAGGAAAGACTGTTTCTGGGAAGCAATTGCAGGAAAGGTTAGTTAGTTGCAGGAAAGGGGGTAGTTAGTTATGGCTAAGCATAGCCATAACTACCCTTCCCATCCTCCTGCCCATCACTACAAGTGCTCCCCAACTCTCGTATTCTTATGGGGATGGGACCACAAGTTTGCTGAAATAATGCTGAATTGGAGGGTGAAAGCGTTTAGTAGTATATCTAATAGCTGGATACTGGAATAGATATTTAGCCTAGCAAAAAGGCAAGTGAGGGGGACATGATGAAGGTGTACAAAGGTAGGCAGGATGGGGAGAAGGTGGCTAAGGAGACATTTTTTCTCCATCTCTCATAATATTAGAACACAACATGAATCTGATGGGTGGGAGATAAAACAAAGAACTTCTTCACAATGTGGTGAAATTATGGAATTTGTTACCAGAAGATGTAGTGATGGCCACCAGTCTGGACAGCGTTAAGAGGAGATCAGATTCATGAAGGTGAAGGTTATCCATGACTACTTGGCTATATTGAGGGCTGCCTCCAATATCAGAAGACGCTTGCCTATGTAAACAATTGCAGTCAAGTGCTACTTTTTGGGCACTGTGGGAACAAACTACTCTGCCTGGTGGAACTTGGTTGATTCAGCATGCACTTCTATTCTTCAGCATTAATTCAAAGGGAAAGAATGTACACTTCTAGATATTTTAGACACTTTTTTTTTCATTTTCATTTTTCTATTGTGGGCTTGATTATTTCATTCTGCTCCCCAGACATTTCGAAGCTTTTTTTGCAGCTGCTGCTCTGGATGCAAAGGTCAGCTTATTAATTGCAGCTTTCTCTTGTGTAAACTCAGCTCCCCCTTATGGTGACTCATCCTCCTTTGGTAGCTTGTGCTCTTACACATGGTCCATCATTTCCTTGAACAAAATCTCCAACAAACAGCTGTGAAAACTCATCTGTAGGTCCGGATGGTGTTTGCTGGGCATCCTTCTTTCATCCCTTGCTCCAGAGCAGCCATCCCCAACCTGGTGGCTTTCAGAGGCATTTGGACTGCAACTCCCAGAATTCTCATCCAGCAGGGCCATTGATTGGGAACTCTGGGTGTTGCAGTCCAAACATGTTTGGAAGGCACAAGGGTTGGGGAAGGCTGCTCCAGAGCATTGTAAGAACACCAGAAGAACCTTGCTGGTTCAGACCAAAGCACACCCTGGCCAAGCAGTTGCCTGTGAATGACCCATGAGTAGACATGGCTGCAATGGCACCCTCGTCCTCATGCTCCCCAGTAACGGGAACCTCACAGACACCCTTCCATGTTCAGATGCTCTACATTTCTGAGTAGTGAACGTCTGGGACCAAGAAAGAAGGAGTGATCACCAAATCCCCGGCCTGATTCCAGAAGCATCTTGCTACTGTAAGGAGGAAGAATGAGACATGAGATGAGAATCTTACGCTCGTATTTCAGAGCACTACAAGTTCAGTGAAGTTCTCCTGTTCTACAGTACTGTTTATTTTAAAATGTTGATTCACCACTTGACTGGCGCCAGCACACGTACACACTTGCATCCATGCTACAGCTTGTGCCTGTAAAATCATTTAGGTTTTCAATCTTTCTCTCACTCTGGTCCCTGCCCAAAAGTTGTAGATGATTCAAATCTTTCATTGCATTTGTCTTCATTGCAACGAAGACAAAGCATGTAATGTTTCCTACATTGCATTTGAAATGTAGAGCCAGGATTTTCTGACTGCATGATTTAGCCCACTCAAAGGTCATCACATAGTTGCAACAGCTGCCCTAAGATCCCTTTTCAGGATTTCTTCACCTATTCTTGTCTCCCAGAGGAAATAAAGAAATGAAAAGAAGAGGCTAGTCTTTATTTTTGACTTCCACGTGCATCAGATGTATCAAAGGTTTAAAAACCTTATTGACTGACACTGGAACCAAACTTTAAAATATGCACACAAAACAGCAGCCACAGAAAGTGGTGCATGAAGTAGAATTGGACTGGATGTTTATAACCAGCCTATCTAGTTTGCTTGGAAATGCTTTGAATTAATTAATACAATGGAAAGTGCCCTCTGGGCTTTAAGGGCCATAGATTTGGCCAGAATGATTCATTTGCATGGCGCTCAGGATTCATATAGTCGTGAAAAAGGGAAATAATTTACATCACCTGCATATATGAAAGCATATATTTTTCTGCATAGAGGCAATCTCTTTATAAGGAAAAGTACTGCATATAAAGTAGCTTTTAGCTAGGGCCCACTCAGTATCAATGAGAGATGGCTTTTTATTTCCTGCCAAGTTCCTGCTTCCTTTTTCTTGTCACATCAAATATGCAATGTGTTTATATGCAACATGCGAGCTCAAGTGTGCCCTGGCTAATACATTCTGGCCTGCCGGGTCCTGCAGAGCCCCGATGGCCCCTGCATTGTGGGGCAGCTCGGGCGCGAAAGGCTTTGCGTTCCCAGAGCTGCCTCGGAGCAAAGAGGCCGTGCTCTGCCTGTCTGCTGAGTGGATCTTCCATCAGGCAACAGTTGATTCCAGACAGTGAAGGAAGCCCAGGGGAGAGGAAATGAGAGGAATAATGAGCGAGGCCCCAAGCAATTCCCTCCAGCACCCCCTCCCCACTTAGCTGATTTGCCTTTAGTTAACTCTGGTCTATGGGTTTGTGCATCTTTGTATTAAATTGCAGCCATTGCATTTGATCATCGCTTTGGAATGCAGTCTGTATACTCTGAAGGCCAAATGACAGACTCTTGCCAGTTGGGTATAAGAGCTCCTTTCTCCCTCTTCCTTTATTAATGAAGAGAATATTCTCTCCACACACCACCACCCCAGATAAAAAAATGTAGGAATACCTAATTTCAGCTTGGCCTCTTTCCCACTACCCTACAAACATTTAGGGTGCTTTAATTGTTTCAGACTGTACGCTGGGTGTGAATTACCTCAGCCCTTCTTGATGGGTGGTGTGGTGGGAAATATGCCTGCCAGCTCACTCAGGATCCCTTCAACAATAATTTGGAATGAATTTTAAGGACATTGTTATTCTGTTTCACTTAGTGCCATGGGGCCACGTCCATCTCACTCTGAAGCAAAAGCAATACTTGCTGATTTTTTTTATTTTGCAATCTTGACTCAGGTCTGGAGTACTGAGAAGTTGCATTGCATTTTCTGGAAGGCTATTACCACTGAAGAATCCATGAATTCTCACAAGGCAATCCAAGGTTAATGCCTCTCAGGCGAAAGCTATTAAGATCAACAAACATAAGAGCCCTGTAAGAGCCCCTGCCATATCTTCTGAAGTCCCACTGATGAGGCTGCAATCCTGTAGGAGCCGGACTGAAACCGGTGCAATTTACTTTTGAGCAGATACATTTAGAGTTGCACTGTCAAGCATGTGCTTAAGGCTGCAGTCTAGGGAGTAAAGCCTCACTGTACACAGGGGAATTAATTCAGAGTAAGCACGAATAGGATTGTGCTTCATATTACTTCACTGAAATCAACAGGATGGTACTGGAGCTTAATGTTGCTTGACTTGTGCTCATAATCACAATGATACGTCACAAAGCAAAAGGCACAGAGAAATTCCTGCAAATTAAACACCTTTGTGGTTTGCACCAAATCATACAGGTATTTAGTATGGGCCTTTATGCAACGTCAGTCAAAACATGCCTCCATAGTATTTTAACCCATTCTTTACTTTGCATAACCCTTGGCAAGTACATTTTCCGTAACAAGATCATTATAACCAACATGATTGCTGGCGAGAACGGACAATTGCCTTCCTGAACGGAATAGTATTCTTTCTTCTGGGGAATCCTGGGAGCTGTAAGACTTTTTTCTAAGCATGCATAAGCTTGTGCCCTTAAACAACAACTGGTTAGATGTGAGGAAGAGAGGGGGAGTGCTCGATCTTCACAGAATTAAGAATAAAACAATATGACAAGCCTGCTTTTCCTGCTGTTGGTTTAGGTGTGTAACCTTCCTGCAGTGCTCTTGCAACAAGGTTATACAGAGCACAATGAGAGTTTGCACAGAATTAAGTTTCTAGAGGGGTGCTTTCAGAAAATGAGAGCCAGTGTGGTTTCCTGGAACTCAGGCGATCTCAGTTCTAGTCCCCACTCAGCCATGGAGCCAAATGATTGACTTTGGGCCAGTCACAGCCTCTCAGCCCAACCTACCTCACAGGGCTGTTGTTGTGGTGCTAAGATTAAGAGCAGCAGGAGAAGAATGATGTAAGCAGCTTTGAGTTCTTAAAAAAAAAGGGGCAGGATATAAATCAATCAAACAAACAAATAGATAAAATGACATGGGCAGGAGACTGAGGATCGTTTTGCCTGTCTTTGCTGATTCCCCCCCCCCCCCACAGTCCCTGGGCATTTCCCATGAAAAACATTGATATTCCACAGAACAATCAGAACAGGAGCCAATGTGCATTAGTATGCCAGAAACACAAACGTGAAGGAAGCTGGGCAAACTGAAGTGGATGAGAGGGCAAACAAGCATTTATTCAGCAATAGACTGAGGGTGTGGCAAAGGCCCTGGAGGGAGCAATCCCATAGCCCCTTGACAGCATCCGAGGGGCCACAGGATATTTTGATTCCCTGGTCTGAGGTTGGAGAGAGCACCCCCTCCCCTGCCCTCCCCAGAAAGAACTGTGCTGGCTGTCCTTGGCTTCTCTTGTCCTCAGAGGAGGGAGCCTCTTGGTGGGCAGGGGAGGAAGAGCCTGGGGCAGCCAGGAGTTATCCTCCTTTCTTCTCCCTTTGCTGAGCCCCAGGTAAGTGGGTAAAAGGCCCACCTGGTGCAGAGAAGGAGGATGGGGAGGCGGTGGTTGCATCGGTTGCATTTCTCACCCTGTATAGGGTGCTAATAAGCCTCTGCCTTCAGAGGATCATTGCTCATCCAGCCCATAAGACTGCACCAGAAGGGAAGGAGAGTCCATAGTCAAAGGTGAAGCCAAAGTGAAACTTCCTAAAATGTGCGTGATGCCATCCCCCAGCACTTTAGGTTCTTATGCGAAATATCAGAAGGTACCATCCCCCTTTCCCTGAGGCTGGGGACTGCTCCTTTCTCACCTTGCCTGCCTTTATCACACTCAGAACTCCAAGAAGTCCTCTTCTGCATAACCCAATTCCCATGTCCACTCCAGGGGTCAGCCTGACCCACTCTTCCTAGTGTTCGTCTGTAGTCCAACACACACCGGAGGTGTCATGTCCATCGCCAGCCCTCTGGCCTCCTCACCTGCTGGCATTCTTTACCTACCTGCTGCTAATGCTTCTTGACCCACAGCACCAGGTCCTCTGTTTTTCCTTAATTCCTTGTTATTCCTGAGAAAAACACAGCAAAGAGTTGCTGTTGGCTGCCGGATTCAAGGAATGGTGCCAATAACCGTGCACACCTTCTTGGTTCTGGAGATGTTGAGATGGGAGCTGACCAGAGTCTAGGACTGTGAGGTTTATATCTAGAGCCTTCAACCATTTTTGGTCAAGGCAGCTGCCCGAAACATCTCAGTGATTCTGGCAGAGAACAGAGTATGTTGGGAGCGGGCACCTTGCTTCCCAGCTCCTGCCAGCCCACCGAACAGCTGTTGAACAGGCTACTGGGAGTCTGATTCTGATGGGGAACAAGATGTTTGCTCCCCAAGTGCTTTGTTTCCAGCAGAAATGTTGGGATTTTGGGAGTGCCTGTGGCGGCGGTGGCAGCAGCACTGTGGTCAGGGCCTGGGTGGAAACTGCAGACAGGGTCATGGTGGGCCAGATGCAGTCTCTTCCTGCTCCAGGAGATGTTGTCAGACTCAAGAGGATGGGCAGGTTTGTGCATGAACACCTACGCTGTGTGTTGTCTTGCGCTTGCACTGCATTCACTGCCTTTTTTCTTCCCATGTTTTAGCATTGATTGTAAGCCTGCCGGGACTTCAGAACTGGAAGAAGATGAGGGCTTTAGTGACTGGTCACAGAAGCTTGAGCAGCGCAAGCAGAGGTGGGCAGGAGAGGGAGTGCAGGAAGAACAAACATCCTATGGTGAATGGAGAGAAGCCCAGCAGGTGGCACCTGTACACTGTGAAGGGAGGTAGGAAATGTTTTTTGCTGGTCGAAAGGAGTTGGCTCTCTATTCAGCATCAGTGCTTCTCTCCTGTGCCCCTTCAGATAATGCTGGAAGAATGCCCTAATTCTGTGCAGTTGAACTTCAGGTGATGCCCATGCAACTTAATTGTGCTTACTCCAATTATGTAGTGAGCATCATTGTGCTTCCTAAGGGTACATAGTATGGCTTCCCCTCAGGTGCAAAGCAAACTGCTTCTGTTTTCAGGGTCCTTTTCAGTCTGAATGACTCTTCTGTACTATCCATGTGCTAGTTCAGTTGAAGAAGGTGTCACTTTGGCCATGTCTGATGTGTTGGATCTAGAACGTATTGCATCTATCTTTGACTTTAAGAATTGCTTTGAGGTGAAAAGAAAAAAAAAATGCTCATCCAACTTCTCAAAGTGTAGGACACAACAGGGTTGCTAATTTTACTTCACATAAGGCTGTGCAGCAGATGTTCAACTGGTCCTGCATTTTCTAGCATGGAGAAACAGAGAAACCTTTATCTGGATTGCAACTTTACAGCTGATAAAGACATCCAGCAACTGTCAGGGTGAAGAAAGGTACCACTTTTAAAAGGGGGCCGAAAGGAGCTGATACTGGACAATTCCTTTGCACAAGAGTGGCTGAGTACAATTTTCAAAATGCTCATTGCAGGCTACTCTCCTGAACCAGAATGAAAGGAGGAATACGGTTGTAAACTGGTATCACAGAAGGAAACCTGGACTATTGTGATGCTGTTTGATACTAGGACTACAGTGTTGTTTATTTCCACAGAACTAGTACTCCTGCCTTAGAAAATTATTTTCCTGTCCACCTGTTGTAAGGAAAGTTTCACTTTTGAGATGGCTGGATGCAGAGGAGGACAGGACTCCTATACCTTTAATGATTGCATCATTGGGCTTTTATCCCTCTTCTAGGCAGCCACTAAAGATTCAAGAGCCCTGTTTTCTTTTGCATGTGGCCCGCTCAATCACTTCCAGGCAGTTTAGTAGGGAAAAGTTAGGAAATGGCACACAAATAGATGCCTTCCCCTTCTACCTTCAGACTGTAGGCACTCTTCATACTCTTCATATGCACACTAGTATAGCTTTGAAGGGGGAGGATGGTAGTATACATATTTGTGGATTTATTTGCAGAGCAGATATTTTTACATATGCCTACTAAATAATCTGCACCTTTACCCTAAAAACACAACAGCTTGCACATGAGAGGATATATACTGTCATGGTTTTTAATTGATGGGTAAAATAGATTGTTTCAGCTGAGAGTGGGAAAATTAAAAAACACACCTGCAGGAGGTCAGGGCAAAGGAAGAGGAAGGGTGTTATACAACAACATTAATTAGCCTTATCAGGAAAACACATTTAGGTATGGTAGTTGTGCTAGTTTTTTTTTTCCTGTTCCTGGAGGCAGAGGGGGGAGGCCCACAGCTGAAGTGTGAGTTGTAGCTTGACAATGGGTCTCCTAGAAGTTGTAGTAGCCATTTTACCAAGCATTTCATAAAGCTCCATTCTTCCCTTTTGATTTCTCCCTTCTGTAATTTCAGCCTTAAGGACTGTTTAAAAGCTTGATTTTTAAGTTTAACGATGAGGTTCTTTAACCTATATTGCAGGTATTATGTAGCATAAGAAATTATTTCTGTTATAAAATAGGGAAATGTGACTGTTACTTCCTCATGCACTGGGTTGGTGGTTTTTTTTTTTCCCTTCTATTTTATTTATTTATTTTTTGATTTATATCCTGCCTTTTCCTACAAAGGGCTCAAGGCAGCTTACATCATTCTCCTCCTCCATCTTATTCCCACAACAACAACCCTGTGAGGCAGGTTAGGCTGAGAGTCTGTGACTGGCCCAAAGTCACCCAGTTGGTTCCATGGCTGAGCAGGGACAAGAACCCAGATAGCCTGAGTCCCAGTCTCATGCTCTTAACCACTACACCACACTGGCTCCCAAATGGTTGGTTGCTATTTCTGGCAGATTGTTGGGTTATTGTGGAGAGACCATATGGGGGGCCACATAATGCAAAACATCCTGCAAAGAGTTGGGATAAACCTGTCTGTGAGTGATTTCTAATTTGTGACTCAGGGTCAAGCTACTTGTGGCTGAGAGCGTCAAAGGAACATCCCGTTTCCTCATCCCAAAGTAAATGTGGGGAGCACAGTCTGGATTTGGGATTTTAGTGTTGGGAGTAGGAGGGTGGTTCTAGTTTGCTCTGCCTGCCAGTGGATCTATTTTTAGACCTTTACACTGTGGGCATGAGATGAGTGGGGGTGAACTTGATTGGAACTGTGGCTGGAAAAAAAAGAGTAAAACCCCATGCAAAGAGTTAGGTATGCAGCTGGACCCTGTCTGTTGGGGTCCTGATCCTGATTGGCTACTTGTGTGTGAGTACCAAAGATGCTGCTAATTCTGTCCCTGAAGAAATGTGGTGTTTGGCCCTTAAATGCAGGCTCTGCACAGGAGGTGCTAACCCAAGCATTTAGTTTTCCAGTGCCACATGGGCATGGGTGCTCTCTGGCTCCAGTGGAGGGCTGGTAAATCTGGAACATGTTTTGACCTATGCCTTTAATGGAAACTAGATGCCTTGACTGGAGGACGTGATGAAAACCATGTCTAGCATCTGGAGATGCTGATTCTTGTACACTGAGTTACTGTTAAAGGCATGGGGTTGCTTTTCTCTGTCTGAATGGCAACCTATGTGCTTGCTACGTGGCCGGATTTTTAAACGCTAGTGTGTAGATGTTTTATTTTCAGCATTATAATGGTATCATTTCCAATCCATATGAGTGACTCAGTTTTATGCAGTATATATTGGGTTTACCAGAAAAGCTGATAATAGGATTGCTGTATCTTTGACAGGCTAAGCAAGGGATAGAAACATGCACTTGAGCTTTCTGTGGTGAGGCTGAAGCTGAGACTGCCTCTTCTCTTTTAAACATGTCCCTGCTTACCTCTCTATCAAAAATGAGAGCCCCCTGGGGGAAGAGGGGTGGCTAAGGCCCATAGATGACCTAAAGCAGGGGTCTCAAACTCAACTTACCTGGGGGCCGCTGGAAGTAGAGTCTGGGTGAGGCTGGGCCGCATCAAGTGTTCCACCACCGCGGGGGTGGTGGGCCGCTCATCCCGCGGCCGCTGGCGCTTTGAAGGCCGCAGGGGCCCTTCCCCGTGCCCCGCCTGTCCCAGCAATTGGCCCGCAAGTTTGAGACCCCTGCCCTAAAGGGTGTTCTCAGGTGTGCAGAGAATTGCCATTTGCACATCATCAACATGAGGACAGTGTTGGTTCCAATTCATAAGGAAAGATGCACACTTAAAGCCAAGGACTGTAATTTAGTAATACCTTAGACTTCACCTTAGGTTGTGGCCAGTCTGTCTGTCTCCTGTCCATGCACTAACTAGTGATGGGCAGTTTCAACTCTCTTCTGATGGTTCCATAGAACCATCTATGAGGATACCTTTGTTTAAAGGACTGTTCTCTGGAAAGGAAGACATCTAGTTACTCACCTTCTATAGCTGTAGGAGGCACTACAAGATTTGGGATGCTCTGATGTAAATTTCATAAGATAAAAAACTCAAGCTGCATAAAAAGGCTTCAGTCGGAGAGAGGGAAGGGGCTTCTGTCGTTCTCCTTTTTCCAGCCCCTGGCAAAAATATAGTGAAATAGCCCAAGTTTGAAAGCTGGGTAGGAACGCACAATGACTTTGAAAAACTCATACCTTCATTGCTGAAGAGTCTAAATTCTTGAAGTTTCATAGAAGAATGGTAATCATCTTGGGCTGAAATCCTATGAGCTGTTACTTGAGGGTTAGTCCCAAAAACTCAGTGGACTTTCTTCTGGCTTAGCATGCTTAGTAAAGGACTGCATGGCATCTAGCTCAAACACTTCTCCGCCGTCTTGAGGGACATGGTTTTGACCTCAACAATGATGTCTCAAGCCCTAAAATCCCACCTTGCACTTTCCCACAGCTTTAAATAGCTTGGGGCTATCTACTTTCCTGCCTTCTTCCAGATTCGAGAGAGTAAACTGTGTATGAGGGCAGAAGGAAAAACTTCTGCTATAATAGTGGTTTGTTTGCTGCAATAAATCCCTATTCCCACGTGCTTAACACCATTTCTTCTTTCAAAGAGCAACAGCAGGGTGGGGACTGAATACATCTCTTGTCCTATGCTGTAGGCACTGAGTTTTCACATCATAATGTCCCTGATGTCACTTTAATGCAATGCTGTGGTTTCATTTTGGGAAAGAAAAAAACCGTATCTGCAAATATTCCCCCCCCCCCCCCGGTGCTAAAGCTGTGCTGAGAGCAGGTAGAATAAGTTTCAGGAGACAATGAACTGAAGTAGACACTTTAGACTAGTCCCAGTGGGTTGCTAGGATGTTTCCTTTCCAGGAATAGACTTCCGGAAACAATTCAAATGCTGGCTTTGACATAAAAGCGACCATGAGAGGTGGGATAAAAGGGAGGGGGCAAGCACTTTCTGCTCACGCCCCCCTGTGTGGACAGAACATAGCGAGATGTGCACTCTGGAAAATGCTCTCTGAAGACAGGAAATTCCATTGCAGTCCTGCTTGTAGCTTGAAGCGGGAGAGCAATCCATGCGCAGCAGCAGGCACTGCCTGTCTGGAAGCATCCTGACTGGGAGGCCATTTAGAAAATGATTATTCACGGTCATTTCTGCACTGCTTTGGTAGAGAGATGCTGCTTCCCCACTTGCAGAGACATCCTAAGCAAGGCTGCTTGAGTTGAGCAATTGTTTTAAAGAGCGTTTTAAACTCTGTATGGAAATTGTATGCTGTGTAATTGCATTTTTTGCATTTCATTTTGTTGCATAAATTGCCCAGAGAGCTTTGATACTGGGCAGTACAGAAAGGAAATTAAACATGAACAAATATTTGGATACACTTTATTATGAAGTATATTGCTAACAGGGCTGTTTATCTCTGGAAGAAAATTCATTTTTCTTTGTTTTCTAATTGCTTCTACAGTTATAGCGCTTGATGCATTAAAAAGGTGAAACAGAATAACAGTACATGAATTGCCTTAGAGAGAGGTTTCCTCAGATTGATGACACAGGTGTGGCAAATTATAGGCCATCTGCTTTTTCTGGTAAATTCTTGTCTGGTAGCTCTAATAGGTAGCTTTCCCTCCCTGGTCCCTGAAGACTTTACATAGATCTCTGGTGTTACTGCTTACTATGCGGTCACTAAATCTTGTATGCACTTATCTCTTGCTTCAGGTGAAATGGAGGGGAACTAGTTTGCTCTAAGTACAGCCAGCATTTATTCAGTTAATCTGGAATGTGTATCCCTCTTGCATGTTTGTACCCTGTTCCTCTTGAATTTGGAACATCTGCTTCTCTTCAGAGCAGAGCAATGGAACTGTGTAAACACACCTCCTTGTGGTGTCTACATACATTCCCAGATGTTTTTTGTATGGACATTGTGGGTCAGTTGCAGGTTAAATCAACTTCAGCTTGGTATTTATATGCACAGTCATTCTATAGGCAAGTCCCCTGAAATAGTGCATCAGTCCAGGAGATGGAGAAATAAATGACTCGGGGACAAATCATACATGATGCTAAAGTACTGTGTATTTTTAGAGCAATTTTGATTGCATTAAAGTTAAGCCTCTTTCTCTCCTCTCCCCTGCCCAGCATTGCTGCAGTCATCATCTTGCAACTCTGAGCCCCCATCCTCTTCCTATCAAAGGGCAAAGGACTGATATTGCACCCCTCAGAACCATATGTGGTCTTTCTCTCCCCCCCTCCTTTGTGTGATCATAAAACAAGGTGTGGCCTGCTCTGAGATAGAGTCTAAGGTGCTGTGCACTTTGGCTGAACCAGTTACATATAGTTCAGTGCATTCTGATTATTGTGCCCAAGATCTGAGATCACTGATTAGTCAAAAGTCCAGAACAGCGAAGGGGAATGCTTCACACGAGGCATCATGACACTGGGGAATATTTTACAGCACCATGAAGTGATGGCCACTAACACAGATGGCTTTATAAGGTGGCTAGACAAAATCATGGAGGCTGAGGCATGTTTTTCAATACTGGTTGCTGGGGAACATGGGCAGGAGGAAACTATTGCACTCATGTCATGGTTGTGGGCTTCCCACATGTATCTGGTTGGCCGTTGCATGAATGGAATGCTGGTCTAGATGGACTTTGGAGTGATGGCTCTTTCTGCTCTTAAAGTCTATTCCTCAAAGGTCTCTTAATCAGTTGGTGCTTCATTTCAGCTTTATCCGCACACACTGTGCAGCCTTCTAAGTTTTCCTGCACCTTGCTGAAGCCAAATCCAACTGTGTAACTGAACTGCGATTAATATTGTGCTATTTAGCAGAACTCCATGGTTGCTCATTCCCTTGAACAGAAAGGGTGTTCGTGTGTTTTTTTCCAATACATTTTTCCTTCTGAATTGCTCTTCTCTAACAAGGATAGGCAACCTCATGCACTCCAGATATAATTTAAAACACCTCCCATAGTCCCTGGCCATTGGCCATGCTGGCCAGAGCTGGTGAAAACTAAAGTTCAAAACACCTGGAAGGTACCAGGTTGCCTAGACCTAGTCTATCAAATCAGCTTCTAGGCCATATGTTGGTTCTTTGCAGTGAATACAGAAAAGTGGTTGGTGCACTTGTCCAGTAAAGAGGCATGACCCAAGGGCCACTGTCACCAAACCTGTTAGTTTGAGTGATTTGAGACAAGTATCAAAAATACTGGAGTGAGGATGAGCAACTAGAGTGTTACTTGGAGGTACTGTAGAACAGTTGCAGGCCTGCAGCTCTCAGCAGTGAACGTCTCTATCCTAAAACCTTAAGTCTTCTGCCACATCCCCTTTTGTTCTTCTGGAAACCATGACCCACTGTCTTCTGTTCAAATGTGTATAAAATTAGAACTTGGTTGAATTAGTTTGACCATTACATCAAGGAGGACAACTTTATAAGCAGTTTCTGGATCCCTTGAGTGCACTGGGGATGGGGCTGACTTCCAAATATTTTTGTGAGGCAGAGACAAAGGCTTGTGTGTTTTGCTTTGTGTGTCAAGCTGACTTGGGCTAAGTCTGGAACCTGGAGGCTTTGTTGCGATGGGGGCGGCATAAAAATGTTTTAAATAAATAAATCTTGCTGTTTACAGAATACCAAGCTCTCCATATAAATGCTGTACTGGGTAGTCCCAAATTCTTTTTCCTATATGCTTTCATTATACCCTGTGTCTAGGGAATATTTAGGAAACACAAATGCCTCAGCACCCTATGCCTTTACCCAGGAGCTTATTTCCACAATATTCTATTTTCATATGACCATGAAATTGGAATGATCTGAAGTTGCCAGTATTTTCTAAAAACCCAATTAGCATATTGTATAGTCTTCCATATTAGTATTGTATGCCTGCTTACCATTTTAAAGATATAAAAGGTTAATGAGCTCTCTTAAAGAAGAAAAGTAATCAGGTATCTCTTTCCTTTCTCTGCTCCATTCCTCCCCTGGCCAACTCTCACTGGTGGATCACCAAGGCATTCCTATGGGGAAGAGGATGGCAGTCTGACGGGCACAACAGCCAAGCTGGAGCAAGTCCACCTGGATCGGGAGTCTCCCACTTTCATCCACTTTGTACCTGGACCTTCAAACTTCCTCAGGTTTGTTTCTGCTTCAGTCTCAGAAGATCAGAGGGAAGCAGAGCTGGAGGAGCAGCAGCGAAAGCTTAGTGATGCTGTGGATGTTGGAGAGGAGAATCAGGATGTCAAAGAAGATCTGCAGAATTTCACAGAAGACAATAAGCAGGAAGAAGAGCAAGAAAAGCAGGAGGTCAGAATGCAAACCTGGTTTCTGTCATCGTCTCTGCCTTCTCAGGTTCAGCTGGTGTCTGGAGGAGGCAGTAACATGGAAGCTGCAGGGCTACACAGGCAGGGCTGGCTTCAGGGGCAGGCACCTGCCAAGGGCTCACACCCCGGTCCTACTCCCCCTTGCCTTTGCTGTGAGGCTGCACGTTTGCTCTTGCTCAGGCCCAGAGCCTTGTGGTGGTATGAGGGGCAGCAGCCCACTTATCCACTGCCATGACGACGAGGTGGAGGAGCAAGCGCACCCGGTGGCAGAGGCAAGACTGAACCCCTTTCTCAGCATGTTCAGGGTGCCTTGGCCTCAAAAGCCCAGAGCTGTCATAGCATGCAGGTGGCCCTAATAATTCCCCCTCCCGCCCCGTAGCAAGTTTTTCCCCAGTTCCTTGTAAATGACCCAAGAGACACTTAGGGGTGTTTCGTTCTCCTGGTGATGTATTTGTTCATCTTACGTTTGACAACGAGTAGGCTAAACTGAAAAAAGGCACAGGGAAGCTTGGAAAATGGACAGAAGGACATATAGAGAAAGTGCTCTGGGAGACACGTGTAGGCGTGCGTGCTGCCGCCAATGCAGCAGACGGCCACTGTGAGCGAGGGCTTGTGAACTCTCGTGAAACGGAAGGGGAGAAGTGGGGAAAAACATTTAAAATGACCTTGATAGAATGAAAAACTGGACTGGGACTAACAGAAGGAAGTTCAACCGGGTGAAATGCCAAATGTCGTGTTCAGGCAAAGGTCCAACAAAAGCAAAAAGCGAATGTGGAGATATTGGATGGGAGGCGCCAGGTTTGGGAGCAGTGCATGGACCGCAGTCAATCACAAGCTGCGTACGAGGCAGTAATGTGATACGGCTGCAAAAACAGAGTGATGAGGCTTTGGGTTGCATTAATAGAAGCATTGTTCCAAGCCGTGGGGAGTAGCAGCACCACTTTATTCTACTCTAATCAAACCTCACTCAGCTACGGCATCCAGTTCTGCGTGCTGCACATTCAGAAGGATGCAGACAAAATGGGATGGGTTCGGAGGAAGGCAGGGAAGATCATCAGGGAAAACAAGTCCTATGAGGAAAGATTGTGGAGAATGGGTACCACTGACTCAGGGCAGAAAAGACTGGGATAGGCTGGCAGAAGAGAGCATAGGAACATGGAAAGCTGCCATGGCCCATCCTTTGAGCAGACCCTTGGCCCATCCAGCCCAGTTCTGCTGATGCTGACTGGCAGAGACGGCTCTTCGGGGTTTCTGGCCGCAGTCTTGGTAGATCTGCATGTAGCCCTTCTCGTTTTGTGAATGCAGAGCAGATGCTGCATCACATTGAGCTGTAGTGCGTGTCAAACTTCTGGATGGCTGTGGCATCAAGAGCAAAGGTTTGTTCTCTTCTTCCCTGGGGAGGGCTTAAGTTACAGGACGGTAGACATTGCATGAGCATCGGGTGAAACTTTGTGAAGGTCAGAGCAGTTGGAAATTATGCAGGGGACTGGTGGACTTTCTCTCACTGAAAGTCTTTAAGCAGAGGTTGGACAATCCTCTGTTGTGGACACTCTGACTCTGGGTTTCCTGCTTCAAGCTGGGGAGTGGACTAGAGTTCCTTCTAGCTCTTCTGGCCAAACTACATGTTAGATTAATTCATGGCGTGGACCTGAGCTTGATTGTTTTCTTTACTTTATTGTAACTGCCCGGTTCTGGATTGAGACCAGCCTGCCCCAGGAGAAAGATCTTCCCTAAATCTTCCCCAACCTCCTTGCATTAAACACTTTTTTCTGCTTGTGCACAGCCCTTCCTACTCAGTGGCTGGCTTCACACATCACAGCAAGCAATCCTACATGTGTGTGTGTGTGTGTGTGTGTTTTGCCTGGGTGTGTCTGACAGATGATAAAGTGGTTTTTATGCTAGTGTGGTTTCCATCCTCCTTGCTCAGTCCTCTTGCTGTTGTCATACATCCCATCAGCTCCTGTGCCTGAAATTCAATCCCATGGTGAATGGCTGGAAGAGCTCCTGTAGTTGCTGCTCATTCCAGGAGACTCTGTGGTAGCTGCACACGAGCACCATGGAAATGATTATGATGGGTTCAGATGACCAGAGAAACCATAATGAAGCAAGGCAACCTTAGAACAGACCACTGTTTCTTCTTTTGGTTTCTATAAAGCCAAACATACAATGCCGAAATGCCATGACAGGCATTGTACAACACAATAGACCACCCTGTGCATGAAACCACCATGGCTTGTTGTGTTGTGTGAACCCAATATGTGACAGCTTGTGTTGTGGTGAGGCATTAGTTGTTAAGTGAGCAAATATACCCTCCCTCTGTTGGTGAAATTGACATCCACTTTTTTCTTTTTTAGGAAAAGATAAGACAATGGAATAAGGAGGAAGAAGCACCAGAAAAACGGCAAAGAACCCCAAGTGCCTCCAGCCAGGAGGAAGATGGTCAACCTCCCTTAAGTCCTACAATAAAGGTTTGTGTGGTGCTGCTCAGAAGAACATGGAGAATGGTTGGAAAGGGTGTTTTTTAAGGAATATCATTCATTCCAGGGGAGGAGGGGAGGGAGGCTAAAGAGTGGGCTAAAACAGAGATACAGGGTTGTTCAGATGGGGTGGAGGAAGGGCACCCAGGCCTATTAAGCCTAAAACCTTAGTTGGCACTTCTGACAGAAGCAGTGAAAGATGTCCCTGTCCTTTAGGCCAGGGCTAGGTAGAAGGTAGGTCAGGATCTATTGGTAGATCTCTGGATGATCTGCAGGAAAAACAGCTAATTTCCTTTTCTTTAACATTCATGGCAACAAAATGACCTCTCCCTGCTAAATTAGAGGGCTGAAATTAAGAAATTGGGATGTGGGGAGAACCAGAATGGAAATTCATGTAAAAGAGAGTGTTCTGTTCAGTTTCGCTAGTTCCTGGGCTAAAAATCTTTCAATTCCAAGTGTATGTTTGTTGTACCTGGCTCTAGTTAGTGGATCTTGGTATTCTACTAAACAAATATACACGCAAATCTTGCAAGCCTAACCTGCTTTAAACCAATGAGCAAACTGTTAAGTCTGTTTTATTTGTTACTTAGATCACGGAGAGAACTGAATCTCTGAACCGTTCCATACAGAAAAGGTAAGCACCATGCATGGACTGAATGCTGTGAGCCGGCAAGGGGGATAAGCAGATGTGTGGCCTTTGGGTAGTACGACTTGAACTCCCATCAGCCCTAGCTAGGATAGCCAATGTTGAGAGGTAATTAGAACTGCGATCCAACCATATCCAGAGGGCCAAATATTCTCCAAGGCTGCTCCAAGCTCTGTGTTTGTGGACTTTCAATTAGCAGCAATTATACTGAAGGCATTTTATTATCTCCAATATTGATATGCTGCTTCCCAGATGGCTTATATAAAAATAGAAAACAGACCAGATAAACATGGCAAATTTAAAATAATATAAAACTCACTCAGATAACCTTCAGTTAAAAGCGGGCTGAAATAAGAAATCGTTTGAAAGAACATCTTAGAGCTAATAATGATGAGACCATAAATGTATCACTCAGGAGGGAGTGGCAGAAATAGGGAGCCACCACTGAAAAGGCCCATTCTCTAGTTTTTCCCATCTTCATATATCTTGAAGCCTGTGACCTAGAAACTTAAGGCATGAGAAAATGCACAAGGGAGCAAGCAGTCCTTCAGATAATTTGATCCCAAACTATTTAGGGCACCGCCTGTTCTCTATACAGAGGTCACAACACAGACTGTTTCTTCTTTCTCTAGATGTATTAGTAACAACCATGGTTAAATATTTCACCTTAATGTATTAGACCACTATCACAAAAATGTGTAATCATGGCTTCTCGTAGCCAAGTTAAGCCAGCCATTGAATAAACCTTGGTTGTGACCATTTATCCACTTCTCTCTGCTTGCGGAATGACAAGGTGGTATTGCTCATTTCTCTCTAGACTTCCTCTGAGGCAAGCAGCAGGGCAGAATTCCTTAAACATACTGAAGTACGGTTTTCTTGAATGCTCAAAATCTTAATCTTAACTAGGGTTCAGGCAGCAAGTTGTGGGGAAGTATTGTCTGCATTGGTCTTTGCAGTGGACCAATGGACACATTGGTGTGTGTCGAGTGGTGTTTTTGTGTTAAACACACACACAGTTTTAAGAGACTGGCAGACTGGCCCCTGGCCAGAAGACTGCAGGGTGATTGGGCAGGCTCTGAAAGGTCTGTGAGAAGCCCCCTTTCCCACGAGCATCTTCTCTTCTGCTTCCAGTAACAGTGTGAAGAAGACCCAGCCGCCTCTCCCAGTTTCGACGATTGATGACAAGCTTGAGCAGTACACTCATGCCATTGAGGTAGATGACGCTCCTTGACTTGGTTGATGCTTCCTGAGTTGAACCTGCGTGCTTCTTTTTCCTCCTTGTTTTTGGGTTTTGTGAGCCTGCTTCAGATATTACAAAGCAGGAAGAGTGGGCAGGAAAATGGAGCCCCTCCACCACTGACATTCCTGCATTGACAGGAAAGGTCTGCAGAGCAGCTGTGACTAGTGGTGCTGCCAAACTTCATAATAATGTGCTTGATGGTCAGAGCTTGTCTGTCTGTATAACTCAGCTTTGCAGCACGTCCAGATCAATATATTACAAATGGTTACAAGTCCAGAGTTGATTGTCAGGTTTGGAACATGTACGGTAAAGTGGTGCACACACTATAATGGTACGCAGAGCCCTCCCCCCGTGATTCAGCCATCCGACATCTTCCCCTTAGCTGCTTCCCTTGCTGTGGCCACTGCTGCCATCCTGACTCAGAGGAAAATCAGCAGGAAAGCTATCAGGATCCATCTTCAGGCTGGCAGTGGCAAGTACAAACCACGGGGCATCAAGCAACGAGACAGGCGGCGCATGGTAGCACAAGGTCATGTTGCTGTACGTGATTCCAAATAGCTAGGATGCACCTCGATGTTGCACACATGTAAAAAATTGTACACACAGAATGAGATGGCATATGAATGGAGAGCTCTTGTCTCCTTTGTGACTTGCGAGTAGATCATGGATGGACTTGGCCTACGTTTTGCCACTGCTTAGTGTAACTGTTTGGCGGAACCTGAGCAGGGCTCATGATCTCATGGGGGACTGGAACAGTGTTCAGCCAGTGGGGTTCTAGTCTCAGGACAAACCCGCTCTATCTGCCTGAGCTTGAGGGATCGACGGGGCAGGGCTGTTCCCCCTCTGCACTTCATAATGCCTGAAAAATTATGTGGTCACTGACTTCTAAGTGCTGGCCATCTCTGGGGGTGGTCCTTCTGTTACATGCATAAGATTCAGCTCCTGGCATTCGTCTGCAAGCAAGCGCTTGTGGTAGCCACCAGTGGAGTCTTCATGTGATGCTGAGTATAAGTAGCCACCTTGTCCATGCTGGTATTGTCTGCTTTGCTTACCCCATGACTGCTAACCTTGCAAGTTGGCCCTTGCATCTGGCCATTTGTGTGGTACCCTGCAAAGCTCCACTGTGTCATGACTGGCACCGCTGATCTCTTGTGGAGACATTGCAACCCAGTGCGGTTATAATAGCTTCAGTGGCCTGATACTATCACAGCATCTCATGTATGCAGACGAGGAAAAATAGAAAGGCGTCAGTCGTTCAAGCTGATGCAGAAGGAGCAGCATGTCCAGAATGCTGATACCTCCCAAGGCATGGTTCCAAAACACCTGGAAGACACAATTTCTGGGATGCCTGACTATTATCTATGCTGGCTGACCGGGAGTTGTAGTCAAAACATCTGGAGGGCTTCAAGTTGGGGAATGTATGCATCTGGAAGTGGGAGTGAGAGAGAGATGCTTGTAAGACGATGTATGAGGCCTGAGGGTAAGAGGTGAGTTGGTCCAGAGCAGGGCTGGTGTGCCCGGGGAGCGTGGGGAGGCATCCACAGGAGATGGTGGACCTGGAGGAGTGTGCTGCTGCCAACCTGGCCCCAGTCTGGTGTGCCCTCCATCACTTCCAGTGGGTGCTCTGGCCCTGCCGGTGCTCTCCTCTGGTGGAAGTGAGGGAGAGGCCAGAAGGGCTGTTTGGAGCAGCCACCAGCCCTCTCTCAGTGTAGGGCTCCAGGGCAACCATGAGAGCATGGCACTGGGCCAGCACCTTGGAATATCGAGCCACCAAGAGCTCACCCTCCATGCTGTCTCCGGAGAGACCCTGTGCAGTAGCAAAGCGAAGGCAGCGGGGTCTCTGGGCTGGGGTTTTTAGTAGCAGGGAGAGAGTTCTGTGGAGGCGGCGGCAGCAGAAAGGGCTGCATGGAGACAGTACAAATTCTTGTGCTTCAGGACAGGAGAGGACTTGTGGGGGGCTTGGCTCAGCAAAGGCACTCGCTCACTGTTGTGTATATTCCTTCCAGACTTCCAGCAAGACTCCCAAGCCCGTGCGCCAGATTTCCATTGACCTTCCCACCAACAGTGCAGCCGTGGCCAGCACGAAGACCCTCTGGGAGACGGGGGAAATGGCCCAGTCTCCAGTGAAGACCACGCCCTGTAAGGTGGGCCTTCCGCTTTGCTTTGTCTTCATGGTGTTGGAAAAGGGTTGGGAGGAAGCTGGGAGCTGATGCTGTGGGTTAGCGAGAGAGATCCATTATTGCAGAAAGTGTTTACAGGTTGACCATTTAATGTGCAAACTCTCCCAATCAAATGGTTTCAGAAGATGGCTTTCTGTAATCCAGATTTATTTCTTGGGCCAGTTACAGGTCCTTGCATGAAGGGCAGCTTAAAATCCAATTATTATGTTCATCTTCCTCCTAGGATATTGTGGCTGGAGACATTGTGAATGTGAGAAGCATTTGGGAGCAGAAAGAGGTCTCAAGTGTAGATAAAAATACTAAGGTGAGAGACTCTTCTTTTGGGGGGAAGCATGCCAAAAGGAGGAAATGTTGCTTTGAGTATTCATATGCATTTGGGTAGCTGGAGGGAGGGAATCAAGGCAATTTTTCAGTAGTTCATGTAGTCTTATTTATTTATGTATGTATGTATGTATGTATGTATGTATGTATGTATGTATTTATGTATTTATTTATTTATTTATTATGTATTTATTTATTTATGAAAATTTCTATGCCGCCCCATTCGCTGAAGCCTCGGGGCAGCTCACAAAACATCAATTAAAATACAATACACTAAAAATATAAAATGAATTAACAATATAACAATATAGTCCAGATATGTTGGACTACAACTTCCAGAATCATTCACACAGCATAGCTGAATGTGACCGGATCTTCCTTGGTCCTTGTCTGCAAGCTCTAGTGTATGGAGTGGATGACTCACGTGGCTGTGTCACTGCTGCACGTCTCGTCTATATTGCAGTGGTGGAGAAGCTTTGCAAAGAAGCAGTCCCCAAAGTGATCATGTGGATAACCCCCAGTCCAGTTTTGTAGGACTTATTTTTTTAAATTGCACCCTAATGGTTGCATGGAGGACCCCTGAAATGGACACCATAAGGGGTGAAGAGGAAATACTAGATATTCTAGCTTGGAAATTCTCTGTTTTCTAAATGCAAAACAGCCCTGCCTCTTAAGGATGTTTTTTAGACTTGTAAAATGCTGTATACTACTTACGTGTTTTCACATGAACTCTTTGCTCTTTCTTAAAAGGCACAAATTATTTCCAAACTGTTTGTTTAGTGTTCTCTGTATTCCCTTCCCATTCCAAATCATTTGTATAGCCGCCACCTAGAGCTGGAATTAGTGAGAATGGCCTTCTTTTTGCAACTGATACTTTGCCATTAAAAGAAAACATGGGGAGAGATGGCAATGGAATGTCTCAGCTGCACCAAGGCATCTTGGGATGGCCACCTGTATATTTATTATTGGTATTGCAAATAAGTTTTCTCTCAGCACTTTGGTTTGCTGACAATTCCCGACATCTTTTGGGCTCCTATAGAACCATTTATGGTGGCTCTACTGGGGCTTTTTGGAGGGGCACTACAGGACCTTCTGTTACTGGCTAATCCCACAGTGCTGCGGTTACACAACCTGAAGGTTTTGTAAAAAACGAAAGAACAGTTGCTTCTTTCTCTTGGGTAAATCAGTAGGGCTATCAGAGGTGCACTGCTGGGCCATTAACCCAAAGCAAACAGAACCACTGAAAGCTCTAACGACTGGGGCCAACCAGCAGAGCCACTGAAAAATGGTAACATGATAGGAGGGTACGGACTTGAATCTCAGTCCCTGAAGAAGTTGCATTTCTCCTCTCGCATTTAGGTCAGGCTTCCTGGCAAGAAGTACAAGTATGTGGCAATTGGGCATGGCCAGTACAAAAAGGTGTTGATAGAAGATGAGGCAACAGAAAAATAGCCTACTCAGGCATCAAACAAACCGGTAGGTATGGAGTTCAGTTAAATTATCATGTGTCATTTGCGTATTAGTGTATGCATACCCTACCTTTCCTCTCTCTCGCAAGGAAGCTACAGTGGTTAGCATGGTCCTCTGTGAGGCTGGCTAGGTTCAATCATTGAGTGGCCCAAATTCACCCAGTGATCGTCATGATCCAGTGGAGACGATAACCTGCATCTTTTGGGTCATGGTCTAACACCTCACTCTGGCTCTGGCATGCAGGTGGAAGCTTTTCTTTGCAGCAGTGGAAAATTTCTGTGCTCTCCGGCCGCAACGTCCAGCACTCTTTTTCACAAAAGACAGCATTTAATATTTTATATATTTTCCATAGAAACACTTTATTCAATCTATACATACAACGTTTGTAAAGCCGCCTCTTGATTCAGGTGGCTGGGTTTTGTGAGAACCGCATCTGGACTGCACAGACGATGCAGAGCTGTGGAAAAAAACCTCTAAAGCTTGGTGCAGAAGTCTGGTGGATGAAGGATCTGGACGCCTGTTAACTAGTCTCAGCTGGAGTCCCCAGCACCAACCAGCCAAATTACGGTTCCTTTTCCCACACTTCCTTATTTTGCTTCAACTTATCTCCATCTTTCCATCTCCAAACATGCCTGTTCTTTAAATTAACACACATCCTTCTTTCTGTATTCCATGTTATTGTCTCAAGATTGGCACAGTCTTTCTACCAGACAGGTGACATTCAAACGTGACTTGCATACCCTTTCTTCAGTTTAGAATCTCTTGCATCAGGCTATTGCTGGTAAAGCCCACCTCTGAGGGCTTTACACAAAGGCTGACCTCTGCCTTGCACAACCACCATAAAGGGAGGAGGAGGCTGCTAGTGTGGGACATTCTATCACCTTGCATTTAAAGCAGAATGGCCCCCTAATTGACAGAAGCTTAGCTTACCCTAATTCTGTCATGAATTAAATGGGATGATCAGCTCCATATCTTCATTTGTTCCTGTCAGCTATTGCTAGAATAAATGGGGAACAGAGTATACTACTTAGAACAGTTTACATACCTGTTCATCGGATGTTGATGCACAGCCAACAGGGAGGCTGGAAAGCGCCAGCTGCAGAGTTCAACCACTTCAGCTTTGTCCTTAAGATGCTGCTGAAAATGGGAGGAAGGTGGCAACTTGCTTGTTCTAACCCTACGAAGGGGACTAGAGTTAGAAGCCTCCTGTGCAATATGCTTTCAAGCCTAAGGCAACAGACTGTGGACAGAAGATCTGTCTTACACATGAGCTGAAGAGCAGCATGGTGAAGGCTGCATGAATTGTGATCTACATATTTATCCAACTTATATTCACATTAATTAGTCCAAAGGACAGTGGGTTGAGAAGGATTTGAAAAGCATCAAGGCTGTCAAATGTAGTGTACTTCTGCTGTTGGGGCTTCTAAGAATCTTCCTCTGAAAATCAGTTTGATTTACAGAGTGGGTGCTTTCTTAATTATGCATCAAGGAGCTACAATCGATGTTAACTGAAAGCAGGAGTAGGTAAACAGTGCCACCAAGATATTTTGGCATATAATTTCCCCAGTCCAAGGCCAGGGATTTTGGGCAGCAGTAATCCAAAATAGTTGATTTTCCCACTTCTGCTCTAAATGGACACCTGGCATGCTTGCTGCCACTGGAAAGTGCAACGTTAGGTGGCAGCACTGTGCGTCGTGTGGGATAATGTGCAAGTCGGGAGACTGGCGTTCGCAATTCATTTCACAAGTTCAGTGCAGGGATAAAGGACTGGGGCCTGAGCTGGCCCTGCAAGTGCCAGCAGAACCAGCAACATCTTTGCAGGGTCAACTCGGGCCCCAGTCCTTGCAGGGAACAGCGATTGTGCAGTGCAGCTGGAGGCCCCCGAGACCAGTGTAAAAGGCCCCCTGCACTGCTGGGTTTTGCCACAGTGATAGGAGCCGCGCTTGTGACTCCCTCCTGACTCCCTCCCTCCGCATCAGCTTGCCTCACCTGAATCCTGCCCAACTCCAGCCGTAGCCTTTTCCTGCCCTCATCCTTTTCTCCAATCTGACCCTGATTCCTAGGTACCTTCACCATCCTTCCTGACCTCACCTTGCTCTTGGGTCTGTCTCCCTGTGCCTTTGGATTGTGATGCTTTGGACTGTGTTTACTTGGACTTATCACCTCCCTGGATTGTTAAACAAATGTACCTCTTCTGGCCCACTGAACTTGTTGCGGGACTCCACCTTGCGCCTGTGCCCTGGTCCCAGTGTTCCAGCCTTAGTCCCCCTCTGCCCATGCCCCAGGCCTTACAAAGCTGTAGGAATGTGACTACGCTGCTATATAAAGTGAAAATAAAACTTGCATCTAGCCATCTTCCAGGCAACTGCCTTAACCAATCTGAAGTCAGAGTACATCTGAAGGGAGCTGGACCCAGCACCTCCTCTAAAATGGGGGAGGATTCGGGCAGGTTTCTCCTGTCTGTGTTCAATCTGAAATGCTTACAAATGCTACACTCAAGCTAGGAAACTTCAGAGTTTCAGGCCATAACACCTTGCTGCATTGGTGGTGCTGTGGCAGTAAACTCACTCCTTGCTGTGATGGCAATGCCTCTCATAATGGAGCAGCGGGAGTAACAGCATGGGTAATTCATTCTGCATGACGAGGCAATGGTAGAGGGGGTAAAATACTGTAGAAGAGCAACCAACCTCTGAGTAAAGCCATCCCAAAACAAACTCTGTGCAATGCTCAATGCTGAAGCTGCTTTAAAGTTGCTAATGAGCTCAAGGTATACTATGGGTTTTGCAAACATAAACATGAGCTATATAATCGGCTCATGATGAAGCACAGAGATGGCTGCTTCAGCATTAGCAACTCTTATTCTGGTGCTCCAGTAGTGGTTTGTGGACCATCCCTTGATCATTCACTGCTGCAGTGTGGGGATTAAGCAAACAACACTTCAAATCAGTGATCATATCATTACTTATCAGCTCACTTTGTTCTCAGTGTGAGCAATTCCCTTTCCACCTGCAACTGAATGCACACCTCTGCAGGTAAATGGAGTTGTGAATCAGGTGCTACACAGACAGAACAGTGGCACTGTCAGTGACTGCTGAAATTGGAACGAAGTGCTGTGTCACTAACAGAAACTACTACAGAATCCTTTTGCACATGCATGCACACGTGGCCGAAGACAGCTTTTTTCTGCTTCGGTGTAGAAGCGACTACGACTTGACCCTGAGTTGGCAGTAGTTCATGAAAGGCTTTTCTTCCTACTGTCCACTTGGGGTTGCTTCCAACAGCTGATTCTTGTGTTCCATAAATATCTGTACTGATGATGAGAACATGGCTGAAGTTCTTTGCTTGAATGCTGGAGTGGTGAGGCTCCATGTATGACATGCATGAATCCCTTTCTGGCCACTTCTGTAGATGTGCCCCCCCCCACCCACCCGGACCAAGCAAGGGCGTGATGGGGAGCAGCCATGCATGTCAGCTGAATCACATTAAGTGGCTGATGAAACCTCTGAAAGACTGGCAAAGCTACAGTCTTTGTGTGCTGGGTCAGCTTCCCCATGGAATATTTTCCAGATGGCCTAGAGTCATCTTTCAAATAAATCCATGGAAGGAACCAACACATCTTTTTACTTAGCATAGTTCCTTAGGTGAGACACTGACAAACATAAAAACAGCTACCAATTTGTCAATCTTCTAACTTGCTTGCCTTGAGGTAATTAATAATTGCCAGTGGCCATTGGTCATATTAGATCCAGCAGGACACTGTGTTTGTGATATTTCACCTCTTGTGTCTTTTACTTTCTGAAAGATCAGGCCATGCTCATTCTAACTCCTGTTAACATTACTGGATTACTGCAATGTACGTGACATGTTATGTGCTGTCGTTTCCAACTTATGGCAACCCTATGTATGAAAACTCTCCCAAATGCCCTCTCTATGACAACCTTGTTCAGCTCTTGTAAAGTCCAGGTAGTGGCTTCCCTCATGGAGTCAATCCATCTCATATCTGGCCTTCCTTTTCCTTTCCTGGCTTCTACTTTCTCTAGCATAATTGTCTTCTCCAAGGAGTTTTGTCTTGTGCTCATTAAGATGACCCTTAATGAGAGTTCAGAATGTGCAACCACTCCAGAATGCCACTGCCTACCTTTTTGTAGCGGTGGGTCTCAGGGAAAAATCTTAGAATTCTGCATGGTTCACCTGTTCAGGGTGCTGGTTCTGATCCATGAAGTCCTAGATGGCTTGGCCTCGAGACTGGCTTCAAGAATCCTACTGGGTGGGCATCTGATACGGGCCCACACCCCAGCAGAGGGCTCAGGGGCAAAGAGCTCCCAGATGTGCTGCTCCTTTGCACCACTGCCACCCATTGTTCACCGGCTTCTTGCTCTGACAGGCAACACTGGGAGGGAGAAGGAACAGGAGATGCTACTGCCTGCCCCTCTGGTAAGCAGGCCAGGCAACAGCAGTGAAGATGAGAGGGAGTAGCTGCAGCAGGAAACAATGGTGGTGAAATGGCAGACTCCCAGGAGGAGCGCTGCCTGTTAATGGTGCCTTCCTGCAAAACCTGGAAGCAGCACCGTCTGGCTCTCAGGGTGCCTTAAGGAGTATCTGCTTATATTAACCTGCTAGTCTGCTCCAGATTTTGCATCTATGGGCACTGAATCTATAAATGGGCAGAGCAGGGCCTTTTCATTGGAATTAGTTTTTCTCCCTCCAAAGACACACCTGCCAAGTAATGTTCTATCGTTCTGTGTGCCAGGCCAGTTCCCTCTCTGCCTTTGCATGTTTTGTACTTTGTGTGTTATAGGAAAGGACTGGGCAACATTGGTCAGCTATTTAAATACAAGTAGCTAACAATGGTGTGTTCGCATCCTTATCTTCCAAAATGTCAATTATTGCTACATGAGTTTCTTCTCATTCTAGCTTTCAAAAAGTATTGGGCTTCAGACTGAAGAGTTTGATAGAACTATCAGTGGCCAAGCTCTGTCTGTGCCCAACCTGCTCTGCATTGCCTT